CTGGAGCTATGGCGCTGCAGGTAAGTCTCCCTGGCCTCCGCCAAATCTTTCTCTCCCTCCAGTACTACTCTAGCTCCTACTAGCGCCCAACACTGAAGACTACTGCTAACGCTGCTACTACTACTGCAGAGCTCCTCCAGAGTGCTGCTGCCGAATCCTGAAGACTACCTCCTGCCTCCTGAACTGCATGTGAAGTGCCTGGGAAGTCCCCTATGAACTACCTGCAGCCTGCAGGGCGGGCCAGTCTTATATAGTGCTGGCCCGTCCAGGAGACTGCTCTTGCCAATGCCAAAACGTGCCAGGCCCTGGCGTTAAGTTCAAACAAAGGTTGTCTTGAATACAGGCCCAAAATGGCCTGTGCTAAAACCCTGGTCTGGTGCCTAAGTTTCAGGGCAGGTCGATCTTATGAGGGCCTGAAAATGGCCCTCCGTTTCAGGCTGAAAAGACTCAGGGCCTGGAGGGCCCTGTTTTAGGCTGAAACGACACAGGGCCTGTAGGCCCTTGTTTTCAGGCTTTCAGGCTGAAACGACACAGGGCCTGTAGGCCCTTGTTTTCAGGCTTTCAGGCTGAAACGACCTAGGGGCTGAAAATCTGAAAATGGCCCTCGTTTGCAGGCGCAGCATGTAACACCTTCCTCGCCATCCATGTCTCCTCCTCCTCCCACTCGTCCTCCTCCTCCTGCCCTTCCTCTTTTCCCTCCGTCCATCTCTTCTCCTCCCCCATCTGTACTTCTCCTCCTCCTCCTCGTCCGCACTATCCTCGTCATCCTCCTCGTCCAAATCCTCCTCCTCCTCTCGCTATATCCCCATCTTCCTGTCATACGCCCCCCCATCCCCCCTCCCAAATAAATAAATAAATAATAATAATAAAAATGCAAGGCTACGCCCGCTTAGCCCCTACGGGGCCCTATCTGCAACACGGTCGGCCGCCCTAAGCGAAGGCAGGCACGACAGGCCCTTCGGGCCTCATTCTTCAGGGTACCCCGCAACGGGGAAATTCAGACAGTTGCATTGCGCCAGTTGGTTGAATGAATCCAGGCCCTGGGCCGCCTGTGTAAACGAATGTGAAGCAGGCCCTGGGCTGGATACGGGTACCAGGCCAAACACAGGCCGAAAGCAGTTGGGCGCATGCAACCACTTCAGGCCCCAGGCCTGCTCCCTACGTGACTGGGCCTGTGCCTACCGGGGCCTACCGGAAGTTTCCTGGACTGGACGCAGGCAGGCCACTTCGATATAGGGAAGGGCCTGCCTCCTCATTCGGCATTCGGGTGCTGGCTGCATGCTGCGTGAGCGCTGCTGCGCAATCCGCTGGCTGGCTGGCAACTCGCGCTCTCACGGGCGAGTAGGAGGGAGCACGCAGCCATAGCCAAGCTGCGCTGCTGTATGCTAGGTGAAGCGCAGGGTGGTCCTTGGGGTGCTATATGCTAGGTGAAGTTTCCTGGACTGGATGCAGGCAGGCCACTTCGATATAGGGAAGGGCCTGCCTCCTCATTCGGCATTCGGGTGCTGGCTGCATGCTGCGTGAGCGCT